AGTCCTCCCGTCCCGGCCCCTGAGGAGGCAGCGGAGCCGCTCGCAGTACCAGCGCCGCCAGCAACCCGCCATGTCCGGCCAAAGCCTCACCGACCGCATCACGGCGGCGCAGCACAGCGTGACCGGCTCGGCGGTCTCGAAAACCGTCTGCAAGGCCACGACCCACGAGGTCATGGGGCCCAAGAAGAAGCACCTGGACTGTGAGTACCGAGGAGGGATGGCGGCCGAAGGGCTTTCCCCGCGCCTCTCGCCGGGCTCCCCTCTGTCCCAGGGTTCTGTGGAGCGGAGTACCCGCTGTGGGGCTGCCTCATTTCCCACCGGCCTCGCAGGAACGGGAAGCCTCGTCAGGCAGAGGAGCTCTGTTTCAGCATAGGACATTCTCATGGGGGTGGGGGGGTGGGGTGGGCGTAGGATCGGGGACGTGGCGATGGAGAGCTTGGGAGAGGCTGTTCAGTGTATCTGCTCTCCAGAAGGGGCCTTGTTAGCTCTTCCCTGTGTACAGGGCCCTGGAGAATGTGAGCTTCTGAAGGACAGGACTTGCCTGTACCCCTTCCTTGGAACCACGGAGGCCAAGCAGAGGAATGGGCTGTAATTTCCGTACTAATTGATCTCGTTTGTGCTTTGCTAGGGCAGTACTCCCCCATTCTGTAGAGGAGGTGCAGGAGTTTCGAGAAGGAATAGCTGATCAGTTATCTTAATTCTTTCTAGTTTCTCTACCAGAAAAAAAAAAAAATGCTTCTCTATTGTTCGTTTAACTCTTCTGTGTAAAAGAACATGTGAAATGAGTGCTTCAGAGGCTAACCTCTCTCAGTAAGGGTGTTCTTAGTCTTACCTTTCTAGTCTGTTTTCTTCACTTGGGAAGGTGGGCCTAAGAGGACTTCTTTAGACCTTCAGTACCTGAGCTCAACATCCCATACAGGGACTGGCCATTTTTCAGCTTCTGTTAAAAACACATCCCAGGTGTGAAGGTCTAAAAGGTTTTTGTCAATTCTGTTCCATCCAGGTGATTATGAAGAGAATGATGAGCACTGAAGTTTGTATTAGTCTGTCTCCCACTAAGCTATAAGCTCACAGGACTGAGGATGTTCTTGGCTGGAATACTTGATTATCTTGTATCTCTTTATTCTAGGCCTTTTCAGGACCCTTCTCTCCCTTCCCCGCACCTTCCCTCTCCAGTACCTTTCATTACATATTGGGGGAAGTGATGTGGCTATGCCTTCTGTATGTGTGCTTTCTCATTTTGTCTCACCCATGTCTGTGAGGAGAAGGTTGAGTCTTCATGTGTCTTGAATTTGTGCCTTCTGAGTCTCTCTATCCAAATGAGAAGACCAGATGATAGTGCTAGGATTAATTGAACCATAGTTACTTCTTCTTTCCACCAAAACATGTCTGACTTAAAGGTTTGAGAAATTCTTGTTCTGTGAGTACCCAAGAGGGTTGGGGTCAATTTTTTAGGGTAGCCCCAGAACAGCTGTCTCTGTTTCTTTCTGGTATTCCCTCTTCCGTGTCGTCTCTTGCCTGAAGACTGAGTAGTAATTGAGTGACTTTGTTATTTTGGTCAGCCCAGAGTGTCAGAAGGCTGAGGATATCTTTGGGCTTTAAGTAACTTAGTCTCAGGTAGAGAAAACACCTTGTTGTATGGCTTATGTATGAAGTCGTGGTGTTACTGCATTTCACACAACAGAAGGGAGACTTTCTGGAAAAAAAAACCAAAACTTTGTCAGGTTTAGCCTGGGATAGTGCTAAAAGTACAGTTTCAGTAATGAGGCATTTAGCAGCTCATTTATTTCATGGTATAAGCTTTATGAAAAACGCTATCAAACTGACCAAGTGACTGCTTCTCAGACTGGCATATGTATGCAGGGGTTGTGTTCTGAACGTGGTTGCTAGGGGACATCCTTATGGTGACCTTTAGGATGCTGCTGGGGAACGGTGCTTGACCTTCCTAGAAAGCTCTCTGGTAGTTGCTGGATGAGAAGAACATTTCTGTATTTCCTTTCTACTCTAGACTGTCAAAACTCCCAGTTCCTGCTGCTTTCTCAGGGAATTCTATTAGAGCGAAGCAAACTTGTTGGGTTTTTTTTAATTAGTTTTACTTCTAGTCACTTTTTTTAGATAGTCTCGTGCTGCTCCTAGTATGTTTGTTAGGAACCTCTGTTCCTGGCATCAGGAAATGACACACGGTTTTGCATTTTGAAAATTTTCTTTGTTCATACTGTTTATGGTTGTATGCTTAAAAATGAATGCTTTTTGCACAAGCTGTGACACAAGCTTAGCCCCCCTCCCACCCCCACCCCCGATTTATCTGCACATACCTTCCTTTTACAACAAAGGGTTTAACTACTAGGTAGGTCCTGTGAGCTGACATCTCACTGTGAATGACAATTAATATACCAGTCTTTATGGGTGGCATGCTGCTTAAATATTTTTCTAATTAGTTTTTATTGTGATAATGACAGTTAAAACTTACTTTATTAGAGGTTATGTCCAGGATGAGTTGATAAGATGAGTTTTCTAATGCTGCCCTGGAATTAAGTCTTAGTTTTGTAGCATTTTCTGTGACCATGATGTACATTCTTGCTAATCTGGTATTTGTATTGCTTGTACAGATCTCACTATTTCTGACTGTGCTGTTTCTGAAATTCATTCTTTATTAAACTTGAGCCATCATGAACACGTGAGTAGCTCAGCCTCACATTAACCCATACAAATGGGGGGAAATTCAGCATAGGTACCTGTGCACGTGATTATTCCTGTCCTTACATATCTTGCTCTTGACTGTCTATGGAGTTGCAAAACTCCCCATCCTAGGTTTGTATATTCCCTCTGTATTTCCCTCGGTGACCGTTACCTTAATAATCAAAGGCTGTAAGAAGGCATTCTTAGCCCATAGTGATAAAAATATAATTACTGCAAAGAACATTCTTTCTCTCCCATTAGAAAGCTTAGTTGCTTGTTTGGTTTGAGGGAAAAAGAATTCTAATTTGCAAGTGCACGTGGCTTATGCTGGGTAGCAGCAGTCATCTTACAGTCATATACTTGTACTCGGGATATGTTGGGGTTTTTTCCTCCTGTTTTGAAGGTCCAGTCTTACAGCTGAGATAAGGATTCTCTGTTTTCTCTGATTCTGTCTAGGTGCTGCTTTTGTAACGATGGATTGCTTGTTTCACAGTAATCAAGATAGGTTTAATAGTCTTGAAACCCTCAAAGCACAGTTCATGAAATTTCTTTCACAGAAAACCTAGTTTCACTAGGACTTTGTCCTAGTTTTTATACCTCTCTGAGCAGTGATAGCTCAAAACTGGTTTGTGGGTTGAACTTGTACCTGGGATTTATACAACCCTTTCTTTTGTGTTTAGCTTTGTGTTGCTGTGTTCAGCACTGTATAGTGATGGGAAGAAGTGGTGATTTAGGTCGTTTGAATGTAAATGGTGCTGGTTTCACTCTTTTACATGATTCTAATGGGGAGAGGGTGTGTGTGTGTGCTTGTGTACCTATGTGTGGTGGATAATTCCGATTAGGAGAGCCAGAAGATACATAGTTAATGCCAAGTAGGAGGCTTCACTAGGTCAGTTCCCTGAAACCTCTGTAGCAGTGGTATCTCAGTAGCATAAAAATGTTTGTGTGCGTGTTGTGGAGCGTGGTTAAAACAGCTTTGATTGGAAACACGCTTAGGGTTGGGCTCTTGAATGAGTATGGCCTAGTAACATCTGCTTGTAGCTGATGGAGTAGCGCTCTTTAAAGGAGAATGTGGATGGATGGCTTGGAAAGAAGCTGCAATGCTGTAATTATCCATTCTTAACAGGAAATCTCTCTATAGTTATGCCAGAGTGTGACTTCCTTGACTTCTTATTGTGAAGAAAGACGTGTATTTTTAAGGACGACGGTAAACCAGAACCCTGCCCTCTGTTGGGTAGATGTTTGTGAGAAGCTGTGTAAGTGAAAGTGAACTTCACTGAGCTCATTGGGAATTTACTTCCCGAGTCACTAGTGTCAGCTGTTTTGGTTTTGTCGGGAGGCCACTACTAGTACAAATAAAAGTCCAGCTAAAGACTTGCTTTATGTCTGTGTTGGGGGCAGCTTCCACTTCCCAAAGAGACGGTATGCAGAGGGAATCTTACAGAACCGAGGGACAAGGGTCGTTGTTTTTCCTTGTAACTCACAAGAGACTTGTAGTAAAGCTGGGAAAAAACAGTGGTTTAGGTATTTGCCTGCTTTTACATACTGAAACATAAATGGGTTATTTCAGTGATGCAGTGAGTTAACTCCTGGTGTCTGTGGATACTACTGTGTTCTCCAGCAGAAACAATTATCCACATTCCTTTTATGGTATTGTAATACTTCACCAAATTCATACTTTCTGGTTTTGGCAGGATTACCTGAATTTTCCCATGACTTTGCCTCCCATTTTATAGTTGACTTAAATTTCTGGAGGCAATCCGTTGTTATTTTTGCTTAGAACTGTTCTGTGTAACTGTAATTATTTCAAATACAGATAATTGCATTATTATAACTTTCTTTTGAAGTATTCATTTTCCTCTCCGAGCTCTTCCATGATTTCTTTATCATTCTTCCTTAGCCAACTTTTCCTAACTTTTTCCTAGAATTCCTTTGCAATATTTGTTTGTGCCTTTTAGTAGAGTACAAGAACTATCATACTCCTTTAGACTGCTGGAGGGCCAGTTTTCTACCACAGCTGCTCATTTGCAGAAAGAATAGCCATTTAGTTTTGCAGCTGTTGTTTTATTTCACTTAGCCTGAAGCGGTATTCCACTTTCGGTGAAGTAAGAGGCAGGAGCTAAGGAGGAGAAGCTGTAGGACACCTGCAGTCAGCTTACTGTCAATCTTCGTACTGCCATTGTTCCCCATCAGCTGTGGTTATTCAGGTGCCATGTAACTGTGGGCTACAGCTCTAGTTGTGATTTTAAAAATTTTTTTTTTAATGGTGCAATCCTATCTTATACCATCTAAAAGTCTTTGGAAGAGGCGTTCTTTTGCAGTTCAGGCTGTGACTTAATGATCTATTTCCGTCTTGGGTTCCTAATCCTAAAATCAGTTTCTGATCTGTAGATGTGAAAGTTTTAACGTGTTCCTAGTGGACTGGCTGACAGAGTAACACCAGTTTGCATAATAATACACAAGAGATGACTTGTCCAATGTGGAATTTAAAGCTTCCCTTTTTTGCTTTGTATATGTTGCC